TTTATATATTAACTAAATAGTCTTTGTCGGTTCTCTCCATTTCATTCTATCATATTCATGTAGGATGTCCTTGTGGAAGATCATTTAAATTGTATATAAAAGAAAAATAAGATTTCAAACTTTTCTATCTCTTTCTCGTATTCATCTAAAATTATAACAAATCTGCGAATCCTGCGGGGAACGATATACTTGAAAATAAAAAAGTGTTTGACATTCTATGAGAAAAGCATGACATGATCAGAAAATACAAACTGAAATATTAGAAGCTATTTTTTGGAGGAAATTACTTTACGTATTGAAAACTCAACACATATTACCTATTATTGATGCTTAAATTTAGTAATGTTAATTATCAATTATATGATCTTTTAATTTAAAAAAGATAAATTTGATGATAAACTGAGATGAATATCCATTCTCATGTATAAAAGAATGTGCCAAAATACTTTTAAGAGATACAACTGAATTTTATATAATGTAAGAAAGTCTTCACCATAATCTCAATTAAAAGTAAAATAATACTTTTGTAATAAAAACTTAAGGTTCTATTTTTCAATCGTCTTCCAATATCATATTTTTTTTTCGGTTCAAATAATATCTTTTTGTGTAAAGAACAAACTTTTAGACGGTTCAGTAATCTTGGAAATTTTAACAGAAACGATTTCCAATAGATTTAATTAGGTATGATTACCGTTAACGATCAACATCAAAGATAATAAGACATTCGGATCAATTATTTACTTAGAGCAGATATTTCTAATTGATGGGTTAGTTCTAAAATAATGCGATACAAGCGAAGCATAGATGTATTTTCGTAGATATATGATTTTCCAAATTCTCATGTGAAGACTGGATCGTGTAAAAAATCATCGCAATAGATTTGAATACTCAAAATCTTGGAATATAAAGGGTTGAACAGTAATATATACAACAGAAGACTGTGGAACTGTATGAGATAAACGTCCACTAGGTTGAATATTATTAGTAACCATAATTATTATAATTATGATTCAAAATTCTCTGTTTTATAATTTAAAGATATTGTCAATTAAAATATGATCATTAGTCTTTTTTTTTTCGATAATTTACTTTTCTTCAACATGCGTTCTCCATTATAGAATAACATTGACAGATACATTAATCAATGGGATAACAACGACTTTCTGCTTGATGATACTTCGTTTTCAATATATTACGTATTTCAAAAGCTACAAAAGTTAACTTTTATTCACCAGATTTTGACAAACAGCTACTCCAAATAAGTAAACTTATGTCTCAGAAATATAAACCAAATGAAAAGAAGGCATTCGTACTGTACCAAAGTGTTTCTCATGTCAAGTAGGCTCCAGCTGAAACAGAATATTATTGTACTCAAACAACAGCGATATGTATTATACACTTCTTTCTCTATTACTTCGTCATTAATAGAATTCGAAAATTTTTTTTGAAATATTATAATCGATTGACAGTCATATGCATTTCTCTTGGGAGAACACACTCTGCAAGTATTAATTAATTAGTACTGCGCTTTTAAGATGCGTGAGGTTTGATGAAAACATATGTTTCTTCGTTAGAAAACTACGTTTTGAATTACCATTGCATTCAAGTTGTTAGTACTGATACAGTCTGAGACTATAGACTGAGGATATGAGTCTTATGAATCTTTCAATCTGATGTAATCTTTTAAAGATTTAACAAATCTTCTGAAATCTTATAGAGTTTTTTTGAGATATCAAATTCACTACGAAGTTTCTTGAAAGCTTTATATATGAAGAAATGAAGTATACTATATCTTTTTTTAATTTGCGAGAAAAACGGATTACGATTAAAACGATGTTCAAATATATTTTGAAGATGAAGTGCATCATATCTTCTTATAGTATTTCTCATTCGATTTAACTCTTTTTTGTCTTAAGCCGATTTGGATTCATTCAATTTTCTTTTCTATCAGTTTCAAAAGAGTGAAAACAACGAAAAAAAAGTAATTGTTATATGATCTATTAAACAAGACAGATGTTCATATCAAAAGTTAACAAACCGAAAGCTCTTCTTTTGATTAATTCTATTCAAGTTTTAAATAAGGTATCGAGGTCAACAGTTATTTAAAATATGAGATTTTGACGCGTTCTTGAATACAATATTCAACTGTTCAAAATATGTTTCTTCGTAACTCGAACATATAAAAAAATAACATTGATAAATGTGTATAAATCATCTTCATGGGTCAATCAACTTTTAAACAGTGCAAGAGTAAGCAATACCTAATGAGACGTTTAAAGATAGTGAATGACCTCTTTTCAAGAAAAAACAACGTTCAGATTTTGTTGCAACGTTTTTTTCATATCAGAAGGCATCATATTTTTGTTGAAACGCTGTTGTTTCTTAAAAACAGGTCACTTGCTTTCTTCTAAAGCAGTCTTTTTTTACATCGTTCACTGGGCATCTGAAACTTAAACAACAGCATTTCTTACATATTACACAAGTTTTTTTTTTCATATGAGTTCCAGCTATCATTTCTTGAAATGATTATATTTTTTCATACATCAAATCTTTTCAAATTATGATATTGTAAATTGCTTCATATTCGAGAAAACCATTGTGAACAATGTATATAAATTGAATTGTCTCATGCAATGGGTTTTAGATACAATGAGAATGATTAAATATATTCATCAAAGAGATTTATTTTATTAATTTTTACCAGTATCAAATTCAAGTTTGTTGCCGATGAGGATTAAAGTACGAATAGACGGGAAAAATCAAAACTATCTAAAGTCTTCCATCCTTTCTGGTCGCAGTGTACGATATACCGCATTGATTTTGGAGAACATTTGTAGAGTATAGTACAAAGTTTGTACTACAAACATTATCAGCAATAATAGATTTATTCATCAAAATCGTCTAGAAAATAATATAAAGAATCAACAAGAATGAGAGAAACAAAACTTACAATGATGGTAATGCTGCTGAGTATATACATTGTCTTTGTATCTAAAACTGTTGAGAATCTATCTAAAATAGAGATATCGTACTAAAGAGAGAAAGCAAAAAATCTATTGTTAATGAATTTATAACTCGATACAAACGAAGAGTATACGGAGAAGATTATATTTGAACAAACATCAATTTTGATTGTTACTAAAGGTCTATTTCAAGTGCGAGAAATGATTGATTGTTGCTAAAGGATTTTTAAGGTCGTACCACTGATATTTACAAAGTAATAACGTATTTTTATATAAGAAAACATCAGATTCTATAATAATTTAATTGTAATATTTATTTTTAGTATGAAATGTGAACTGTTCCGGGATGGAAACTATCTTCATAGACGAAGAAAAGTTCTGATTATTGTATTATAAGTGACAAATCTTTTATGAACGATCACATGTAAGAAAACTGAATTCAAATTTCAAATGAAAAATTAATAAAATTACTTTATTTTACGTGTGACACTTCTATCATGAAATTTGTTAAAGATAAAATTCTATTCTTCAAATACAATAAAATTATTCTCGATAAACAATATGCTTTATACGATGAAAAGAAAGACAAATATTTAATGGAACGAACGTCAAAAAGATAGTCTATTCGCAGACAGTCAGTAAATGTACACTTGTCGTCTATATTCTATTCGATTTTGCATTCTAGCATTACTATTGACTAAATGTTAGTAAATTCTTTTCTTCAAAAGATGCCACATTTCGACAATATATGAAAATCTTTCAGAAAATTTTACATCTATAACTTACAATAAAATGAAAATATTGTATCTATACGTTAGGAGACACTGTACAAACTTTCTCTATGACAATTTATATTGATCAAATGAATCTTATGCTGGCATAGACTCTTTTATCCTAAATTAATTTGTATTGTTTTATTTATTTCAAAAACAACAACATTCTGTATAGAAAAACCTCGATAATAAAAGAAAATTAAATTTAATAAATATCTTTACCTTAAACGTATAGACACATTTACCTTTATCATTAAGATAATACATGAGAAACATGTTTATTTTCTATTGAATATTTCGAATAATCTTAAAATAAACAAAAGATAATTATATTCTACGTCTATAGATTTTGATGTTTGAATAGAAAATAAAGATCTATACACATATATATATATATCTGAACAAAATAGAAAAAAAGAAGAGGTCAATCATTATTATCATTTGAAAATATACATAAGAAAAAAAAATAAAGACGAAGGAATGCATCATCATTTAACAAATAGAAAAACAAACAAAAAACATTGCTGGATTTTTTAAATAAGTATCAGATATAAGTAGATGAATAAAATATCTGATTATATGCGTGAGATTTAATCAGAACATGTACAAACAATGATGAGATTATTATTGTTTCCTTCTTGAATTTTCAATTTAAGACATGCTGTATAAAAACGAAAAAAAAATACACATCTAATCATCGGAATCATTATCATTATTTATTTGCATTAGAGTTCGTTTTGGTTGAGCCATTTCTAAAATAATCTCGATAAAATATACAAAATAAAATAAAAGAATACCATACATTAATAGGTTTTTCTTGTTTATCAACAACCCAACCAAATGTATCTAAGTGTTCTTGAGTTTTTTGTACATTATGTGACCTAATAAAAATAGATATGATTATTCTTATTGTTAATTAATTAAAGTTTTCTTACACATTTTTATTTGTTTAAATAAATTTCAGAAGAAAATCAAGATCTTTTTGAACTAATATTAACATCAATATCTTGATTTGGTCGTTGTTGAATTAATTTTTCCGCTGTTTCAATTTGACTTTGAAGTTTATTTAGGAATAAATTTTTTTGTTACTTCTTGTTGTTCTAATTTTCTTTGATTATCATCTAAACCTTTTTATAACTCATTTATAGCTCTTTGTCCATTTTCTTTTAAAGCATCACATACTAGAATTGCTGTTTTACATTATTCAATTTCTTCCCTTTTCTTTGATAAGACGTTGTCGTGCTTGAACTAAATCATCTAAAACTTATCGATATTCTGATGGTTTATTTTCTGTTTTAGATTTTTTGTCTTTAATACGTTGTTGAATGACTTCAATTCGAGTATCATAGTCAGATAATTCTGCTTCACAATTATCCATATTAGAATTATTTGGTGCTTCAATTAATTGTAATTCACATAATTTCTTTATAAAGAAAAGAAATTTTATTTTCTTATTAGATTATTTTTTACTTTTCCTAATCGACCACATTTGATTTTAATTTCATTTATTGTTTTATCTGAACCTTTTTGCTGTTTGTTCATGTTGATTAACACGTTTGTGTATTTCATGTATTTTTCTCTTTTACTTCTTGAACTTGTCGTTCAGTATTATTCCATTCTTTTCGCGCTTGACTATATTAATAGAAAATTATTTCATTGAAATTTTTTAAAATAAAATTACATACTGAATATGTTCAGCAAGATCTTCAACAAAATATCGTGGATTTTGAGATCTACATATATAAAAACGAAATACACTTATATTTTGCATTTCCGTACCATTTATTAGATAAGCCTTTGAACAAAATTTTAAATAGTCAAATGAAAATATGAAGAAAGATAAAGATATACAGCAAAACAAATTGGTGGAGCACTTCTCTCCATAATACGACGAGCAGTTTCATAATTATCTATTAATATTCTTTGTTCAATACGTCCCTAAAAGAAATTTCAATATATAGAAAACACAAAAAACGAATATTTAAATAAATCTGATTAATTAAATAACATGCAACTATGGGATTATCAGTATCAAGTATTGATAAAATTTCATGGTGATAACTAAAATTATAAATTTTAGTTTCAGTTTATGAGAAAGATAAGACTTACTCGAAGATTTTGATAGATTTTTGATTGATAGTTCATTACTATAAAATTCTATAAAATAAAATATTAGAAGAGAAAATCTCTGTTTCTTACCAGTAACACTTGATCGATAATCCATATCATGTGTTGGCGCACATCATGAAAGAATTTCCAAAAGAACTCTTTCATCTTCACGAGATGAAGAAAGATAACCTGTTAATAAATTTCCTAAACCTTGTTCAACAGCAATAGCCCATTTTATATCAATAAGACAAGTATGTTTACCTAAAATATTTTTGTCTAATTAAAATATATTTGTTTTCTTTTAACATATCTTACCAACAGGTTCAATCGGTATTTGTTTAAATCTATAAGCTTGTTTTTCAATTTCTTTAAGAATTGCAAGTGTATAACATCCATAAATTGTAACACGATCTTGTTTAACTGCTTTAAGTTGTTGTATATGACCACGTCGTTTACGTAAAGAATCTTCATGTTGTTTTAAAAGTGCTTGTTCATCAAATAGATTTTGTTGTTTATCATTAAATAATTGTTTTAAAATTAATATATTCATTTTCGTTCATTGATAATATTTGTCGTTGTTCCGCAATTAATATTTGTAATTCATCGATACATTGACGAACTTTATCATAATCAGTATTATCTGATTCTCTAAATAAAATATATATTTGAAATAAATATGATTGAAAAATTTTGTTTTTGCTTTTGACAAATTTCATCAATTTTATTTTGAAGTTTTTTTTCTTAATCCAATTTGTATTTGTAATTCTTTTTTCGGATTTATTAACTTCATTAAATAAATCTCTTTTTTCTTTATGAAATAAGTTCATTTGTCTTTCAAGTTCATCATGAATACGTTTTTCTTCGATTGCACTATTTGCAACTTCTTCAGCTTTACGAAGTAATTTATTACGTTTATTGTTTTCATTTTTAATATCTTCCTATTTATTTTAATTTTATTTTAAAAAATTTAGAAGAAATAAACATACGGTTAATGCATCACGTTTTTTTCATATATTCTTCAACTGCATATAAATTTGTTTTTTCGATGTCAGGTAATGGCTAAAAAAAATTTGATATTTAAATAAAAGAAAAAAATAATCAAAGGATTTACATTTTCAAAGTTTGATCACTTCTGTCCATTCAAGTTGTCCTCGAAGATTATCAGCATTTTTTTGTATCATGCATGAATTCAGCAAAATTTAATTGAGCTTGAATTTCTTTCTTTTTCTATTTCACTTAAATTTATAATTATTTATTAATATAGAAAATAATTTTTACTTTAATATGATCAGCAAGTAAAGCTTTAGCATTTCGAACTTCAATCCTTTTCTGTAATTGTGTATCTTTTAAGAAAAGCTTTTCTTCATAATTAACTATCTTACGTGAGTTGATTTTAAGTAGATTTTCCTTGAAAAAAAAACGACCAAATCACCAGCTAGTTTTTATAAAACTTTTAATTTAACCAAAAATAAAAAATGACAGCACCTTTATAAGATGTTTTAATCCGAATTTCTCTCACAAAATGATGTTCATTTTATCTTAATGTCTTATTATTCACCACAGAAATAGATTATTTCATATTGAAGTAAAACATATCGAAGAAAAACTTTGTTTGACATTTCTTTTTATTCCTTTAAGTGTGAATATACATATACAAATGTATGAAATAGATTGATATTTAACGCTCTCTTTCTATTGTAAAGGCTAACGAGGGAACATATTTAGGTGTTCAAGCCGTTTAGATCCCATCTTTTGGCGATAAGTAGACATCAATGAGATATGAAAAACCTGGAAAGGACGCATTCCCTCGTGCCTTTGTTTTCGAGATACCGACTTGTGAAGTATTTCTCCTCATAGAACTCAGAAGTTCTAGTAAACCCGTACTGTCGAGTTTTCATCTTAAACTTTGCCCACATCAAAACTTCGTGTAGACTACATTGTGTGCAAAATCTTAGAGTTTTCGGTCAAAACGTTCACTACATATAAATGTTTTAAGGTATCCATGTTTTGTACAATGCCTGCGAAATAACACCCACACTTTTAATAATTCATATGTAGTGAACGTTTTAGCCAAAAATTCTAAAATTTTGCACACAATCTAATCTACACGAAGTCTTGATGTGGGCAAAGTTTAAGATGAAAACTCGACAGTACGGGTTTACTAGAACTTCTGAGTTCTATGAGGAGAAATACTTCACAGGTCGGTATCTCGAAAACAAAGGCATGAGGGAATGTGTCCTTTCCAGGTTTTTCATATCTCATTGATGTCTACTTTTCGCCAAAAGATGGGATCTAAACGGCTTGAACACCTAAATAAAGGATGTTACATAAGTTCTGATCCCATCCGTATTTTGACTATAACTTTTTTCTTTTCGACCCTTAGGCCTAATTGTTTTTCCAAAAGATGCCCCGTAAAATTCTCAACAAAACTTGTTAAAAAAGTATTTCTGTAAAAAGTGAAGGAGAAAAATTTAACGAAGAATATCCAACGCGTAGAAAAGGACCAACTTTCTAAGCTAAAAAATTAATTTGTCCAACTACTTTCATTGAGCTGAGCAAGATAAGAAGAAGAGAATATACGCATTTTTTAGCGCTTAAAAAGCTCTATTAATCAAGTAGTATTAAATGAACAAATACTAAATAAATCTATGCAATTGCACTGATTTTCTTCTCTTTGAGTCTCTCGAAAACTCAGCTGTTTGAATCTGTAGTTTTTCGGTGCTCATGGAAAACATCGCCTAATTAAGCCAAAATTGCAGCTTTTGAGCTCGAGTTTCTTTTGTTTTGAAGAGAAATTACTCCTGTACTAGATTCAGCGTCGAAAATTTGTTCAAAGTTTACCTGATAGTTTTCTTCTTAAAGTTAGGCGTCGAAAAGTAATTGATTTTCATCATTTTAAAATATATTTTTGGAATGTTAAATTTTTCAGTGTCGATTTTGATTTCAATGAACTTTGAAATGCATGACGAGAAAGAGCGCACTTCAAAGT